TTAGCTTTGTCTCCAGGAACTGTGGTGAGCCTGACACAGGGGCTGCTTCCATGTCTCACTGTAGCATTTTAGCTGCCAGTAGGGCTTTCATGCCAAACTTCTGCAAAACTGAGTTACAGATAACAGTCTCTCTAACACGCCCTACAGTTCCTAGTCATTTGTGTCCCCCGCAATGCAAACACCTGCAGATAATTCCTATCTGCTCTCCTCAGAGACCATGGTTCTTGTTCACAGGCAAGAACAAAAACCAGATATACACCTTATACAGTACATACTGACCTGCATAATTCTCTAAATGTTAAATTAAATGGCAAAGAAGATCAGATTAAATAAAGGAAAAGAAAGAAAGGCTACCATAGAAAAGTACCATAGAGTGACATTGTTGAACTTCTGTTATTAGCTGATGGTTAGCATTTTGACAGAATCTGTATTGACGAGGTCATGAATTGAATGAACTGCTATATACAAAACAAATGCATGACCGTGAGAGTTTATGATACTTCAACAACTGACTGGGCAGCTTTTAGTGATCCATTAACTACTGTATTAGGATCTTAAGTAGGATGATCTGACTGCTTTGTTAAGTTGTTATCCTATGACTTTAACCTATGAAGTTATGTGTCCTATGACTATATTCTCAGATACAATGCACACATGAATTTTGCCAACAGTCCCAAGTCTGTCCAAGAAAAAGAGTTTAAACAAATGTCCAGATTCTAAATTGCAGCCCAATGTCATACTGTATTTACCTTATTTCCATATAGATGGATTTTGTGCCAGCAATTGAGTGATGCAATGAACACTCCCGGCTACAGCATGTGGGTTAGAACACTTTAATCTTTCCAGGCAAAACTGACACCCCCTCATTTTATGAAACAAAAAAAAGCAGCAGAATTCTTTTCTCAGAAAAAGAGCTGTCAAATTTTCCCAAGTCAAATAACCACCTCCTCCACACTTTTCCATGCATTACTTTCATTCTAAACAAGAATTCACGTCTCAGATTTTTTGTACATTTTCACAAAAACAGCACTCTCACTGATGCCCAACAGTAATACTGGTACAGAAAAACATATGCAGAGGACATGTAATGGTGGTGTGGGGGATTCAGAACAAGTTTAGCATAATATTTAAATGTCAACTGAAACTAGCCTCTGTCGATTATGAGTGATTTTTTTGTGGTGTCATTTCACTAAACAGAGCTACATGAAAATGTCTCTTTGAAAATTCAAATAGTTCTTCAAGGAGAGGAGAAAAATGGTTATTGAGTTTGAATAAAATTAACTGGCTCTGGTGAAAGAATAATAGTGTATAAAAAAACTTCTAACACATTACGATGTAACAAGTGCTATAAAGTGTCCCTAATCAGAAGGAAAATGCAGAGAAATACAGAACTACAGTGTAGAAAGTAGTAACAAGTAAACTCCAAGTGCAGGAAAAATTTTACACTTTGAAAAGGTTTCTTTTCAATTAATATTTAATATCTAGTTCCAAATTAGTTATCTGCAACAATATGCATTCTAGGGCAGCACGGTGGCGCAGTTGTTAGCATTGCTGCCTTACTGTGCTGGGGCCCTAGGTTTAATTTCCTGGGGTGCTATGTACTGTATATGGCCTTTATATCTTCTCTTCATGTTCGCGTTGTAGTGGATGTTGACTTTCAGCTGGGATTTAAACTAACTCAGTTATTTGCATTGTTAAGCGCCTTGGGGCACCCTTGTTGTGAAAGACGCAATATAAAAATAAATTGAATTGAATTGAATTGAATTTAAGATGGCAGACTTCAGAGAAAATGCACATGACCTATTCAGGTCAATCTTCTGTTGGCTTAAAACTTTAATTTACTGTCTGAATACTGGAGGTTCATATCTTCATGTAATTAAAGGACTACAACATTCACTTTTCAAGGCAGCAAATGTTGTTTTAACTTATGAAACAAAGTTTTTCATTAATTGGGGTACTTGAAAAACGTCTGTGACAATGCAATTAATCAACACTCCCTACTGTACCATATAATTTAACTTAATTAAATACGTGAGGCATGTCAAGAGCTGAGTAGGGCATGTAAAGTGAAAAGACAATCAACAGCAACTCACGCAGCTGCACCTATGATGAAATAATAAATCAGCGTGAATCAGTATAATTTTACCCCTCCACTCCAATAAATCTTGAGTCCCTTGGAGAATGAGACATGTGCATTTCCAGCTACAGGGAACTGATGATAAATATTAACATGCCATCTGATTTGACATGTAGAAAAAGCACACTTGTACCTCAGGCACTGAAATCTCTGCCAAATTATTCCTTTACTTTTAGAGTAAATGTGAATTGCATTTGTAAATGGTAATACATTCTTTTGTCTATGTTGATTATTTGTAAAGGAGTTCAAAGTAATGACAAAACAATAGTTTAGTTTTAAAAGTACAGATTCCTTGAGAGTTAATCAGGAAACTGTATGTACTGTATTTTTTACTGTATATTTCAGTACAGAAAATGTTTTTTTAATTAAATATACCAGCAGTAAAATATGACAAAAGCAAAGGTTATCTATCAATAATTAAGCAATGATTTCATTTAATCAGCTG